AGTGATGACAGTAAAATACTATTTTTATATTACTCTGTGCATTGATGTATTCGCTGCTTTCCGGATTTTTTTCTTTAGATTGTCAGCCATTTTTTTTGTATATATACATCCAGCTGGTGATGGAATATGCAGCTGCCTTGGATGAAATGAGGCACAGGGGGGAATATTGTGTCTGGTCTGGGTTAATATAAGAGATTTAAATAAGTAAGGTTAAACAGCCGGCACAAATCATAGTTAAATGAGAACATCATATTCCTTGTGCAGTTTACTGAGTTATATTTACATACAATGGGCATTGGGTGAATGGATTGCTGCACTTCTTACAATGCCGCTTAGATATTCGAACTCTCACTCTGTTGTAGAGAGCAACAGAAGCTAAAGTTATGAAGCTGTGCAACATGAAGCAAATTATGACTAGCTCAAATGTTATCTGTCACTCAGTCTTGAAACGGTCAAGATGTATAAATGGCTTCTAAGCACGGCGTCAGTTTAAAGCCAGAGGAGCAAAGTTAAAATAATACTCCCGGCACCAGAGCTTGCTGTAGTGGTTATGGTTCCAGGAATGCTCTGGCAAACCCCCATTGTAACTAGCAATTGTCAAACCATTTAGTACAAGCAGGCAATAGAACAGTTAATGTTTGTTAAAGCAGCTCTGTTAGCAAAAATAAACTTTATTTAATCTTCCTCTGTATAGCTCCCTGTGTCTGAATCTCTGCTTATTTTTTAATCTGAGGGCTCTATATCCATCTAATACATAATGAATAGCAATATTCATGTTTCAGTCGCCAGATTTACCCACAATCCATCAACAGATGCGGAAACAGAAGACCTAATGGGCACAAGAGACAAAATGGCTGCTCCGAGATATTGGCTGCTCCTACACAACTTGTCATTGAATTTTTTACAGTGTGTAATTTCTACTGTCCACATACATACTTTTCTATCCTTCTTAGTTTTCTTTTCGTGATACTCACCTGCTGCATAACAGTTTTAGCCCCTGAATATGCTGATAATGCTGCATTGCCAGCCCTGCAGCTAATTTAATGATTTGACACTTGGAGAGGATGAGTAGAGGCAGGACCTCACTCTCTTCTTTGTCACAAGAACATGCTTTACGCGTAATTTAATAGTACACTACGTGCACAGTTAATGGCATCTGTTACCATGGTTTCATTTTGATGTGGGGGTAGGTAATGGCATACCCGTAGCTTTGAAGACAAGCAAGAGAACCGCCTGTAGGCATGTTCTCAGCTTATAGACATTGGCATAGAGCCTATGCCGATAGATTGTCTGAATGACAGGAGAGAGGATGGGGGTGATTTTTCAAAACCTGTACATTTGCTAGTGATTTCAATAGCACAATGTATGGATAATTTGCGGAGAGGAATTCAATTAAATGAAGTATCATGACAGGTATCTTTTAAACTGTATGTTGATAAAGCACTGGTTCTTTAACAATTCAACACAAAAATAAATGGGTACCATGAGATATATGTTCCATGTGAGTTGGAATGGAAGGGATCTTTTTAAATGTCATGTTTATTTTTGCAGGATATCAGAAACATGTGGAAGACATTAGAAGGGATCCAGAAGTATTTTCAGTCATTTAGAAAAAAGTTCAAATTCAAGGCTAATACATATCAATTCATACTTCGATTTGATCAATTCAGATCATTGCAGTAAATTTCATGAATTTCCTCAGAATTTGAGCCTCTCGGTCGCCCCAAATGATCTGGGCTGAACTTGCTGATGCAAGTTTGACCTTCAGTAGATAACCCAGTCTATGTTCCTAATGTCTTACTTACATTGCTAATATTTACCATTGTTCTGTAAATGTCTGCTCCCTCATACTCTCATGTTGACATTTTCCATGCATGAAATAACACAGGATTCAGTGATATCCCAGCCTGTACGTTTACATTTCCAAAGAACAGTACAAACATTGCTGCCTAAGGCAAAACTGCTCTCTTAAATTCTAGAGAAGACTGAGATTGCAGCATAGCACCCCTAATTCTTACGAATTTAGTCAGTAAACAGATAGTTGCACAATTTGGGCCCATTTTTTCTTTTGCATCAGTTTTTATCTGTTTACCTTACATAAATCACAGATACTTACATATTCTTTACAGATCCCATACAGTTCCTTTTTTATTTTTGATTCCTATTCTTCATATGTTTAATTTGTTCACTTACATTTCCTACCTCTTTTCTTTTTTTCTGTTGAGCAATTTTCTGCTGAATTATGTCTTTACTTTTACTTATTTAATATGAACTCAAACTCTGTATTATTTGCTTTCATTTATTTACCTGTGTTGGAGCATTAGGGTCTCTAGTAGTGGTTGTAAACTATGGACCAGTGGAATTGTATTCAGCAATAATGGTCTATCTATTTATGTAGACAGTTGCCTGTTGTCAAACAGTAGACACATATATAACACCGATTACATTTTTGTCACATTATTAAAAAAACGTACAGTAAGTGCAAATGTTTCAAACTTATCCAAAAACAAACAGCAATGTTATACATAAAGTCTATTAATAATAGTCACTAATTAAAAACAAGGGATACCATATAATAAAAATAATGTATACTTAAAGAATATTTCTATAACATCTTAACAAAATGCTTTTTTTTATTGTTTATCTATTTAAACATTTTTTTAATTAAATTTTTACCAGGAAAGAAACACGAGATTGCTATTGTTTTCAAGTTTTTCCTAGGGCATTTAAATAATATAATCTCGTAACAATGTTACATATTTACTGATTTTATTATTAGATATGAACATATGAATAATTAACATTTTCAGTGAATGGACAGAGAGGACATAGCAGAAATCATTGTTTATTTCTTTGTCTTTGCAAATTTACTCTCGCCTGGTGCCAACACCATGTGCTAAACACATGTTTACAGGAAGTGTAATGTCTACATTTCAAAAGGGCTTGTGTAATTTGACATTCTCTATGCAAGCGAAGGTTGACCTTTGCCACTCCAGCATTTTTATAAGATCCTCCGTGCAGTAAAGTGAACTGTTACCATAAATACTGGTTGTAGCTCTAAAAGACCCTTTCACGACTAAACGTGACCCAACAAGCCTGGGGTGACAAATCTTTCACCCCCTTTCTCCTAGCCTGTTCATTTGCAGAACCACTCCCATGCTGCAAGTGAAGAACATGAGTCCGAGCCGTAAAAGCAGCTCCTAAGACAAGATCAATCCCATGATGCAGTGTAAAAGTACAGAAATAATTAGGTCAATGATATATAAACAGATAGGGGCTGTAAACACAGTAAACTGCATATTTACAGAATGTATCAGTTCCTGCCCCTTGGAATGAAGACAACATATTAACAGTCAAGGTTTAGAAAATAATTCCTGGGGCAAACAAGCTTAACTATATCTTCACAATAACCCAAAGACACAATATAAAAAATATTGCTAATTGTTAAAAGGGTGGGCCACTATCATACTTTATGTCCCTAAACCAAAGTTAGACATTAATAAAGGTATTCAGAACTAGGTCATGTCGTAGGTAATCAAAATCAATCAGTCAGCAGTTGAGCTTAGTGTCTGGAGTTCTCCAATGCTTAACAGGGTGTTGAATATGTTTGATGGTCCGAAGGCTGAAAATAATCATTCTCTGTTCGTTGGCTTTGGTGGTAGTCTGTTCGTGATCGCGACCCATAAAAGCTGTTGGTTCAGCAATAAACAGAATTTGTAGGCTTCAGATTTGCAGAGTAAAGAGAATTAGCTCCATCTTGCCTGCAATCCAGTTCATGCACCCTAAAGTCAATATCTGTAAAGAAGGCCTGATGCATTAATGATCATGTAATTATCTCTTTTCAGTAAAAATCATCTACATTGTCAGTATACGGAAGAATCCTTAGCAAGATACAAAGCAGTAAATAGGAACAGCGGGAATGGATAGGTAGACGTTTGTACGGCCAGGCTTAATGCTCAGAGAGAAACTGAAAGTATCAGAACTAGACAGATACAGCCCTGTCACTGCTCATACCTGAATATCATCAGCAGGAGAGAGGAAAGTATTGCAGATGGCCTCCTGACCACAAAGACCATGATGAAGAATTAAATGTATGTGAAAATAATGTTATGAAAAAAAGACTGCCCTCTTTGAGTCACATATAAGAGCATAGCAAGTGACATGTAGCCCATGGGCTGCCAGATAGATAGCTCTGATCTGGAGTCAGATTATATGATGCCAAATCAGATATAAAGGAATAAGATATCACAAGGCCTTCTGGAGCAGTTTATATATCTAGACATATAACACATAGTGACTTATTCTTGTTCATATTTAGTCTAGGAATTACTGTCACCCGTCTTCAGACATTATTGCCCACCTCTAGAATATTGATACACAAAAATTTTTATTTTACTTGAGATGGAATCTCCATTGCTGAATGTTTATTTAACCTAGTTATATGACAATTATCATGCCAGATATGCATATATTGTACAGTCCAAAGAAGCAAAATTTATGTGAACTTTAGAATTAGAGAGAAGGAAATACATGCACAGGTAGTTAAATAAAGGTCATTAATTAAGGGATTATACTTTGCTGGTGAAGCAACTAAACTGCTGGATAAATGGATTAAATTTGCATATTTTTTTTACTGGAAGTTCAGTTCATTTTGGAACCTCTGTTTAAACTAAATAGGTCAGGATATGGCTTGTCTAATGTTTTAGAAACAGGTGGGTGCTGTTCTTACTCATTCCACTAAATTTAAGGCAGAAAAATTCAAACATAAGATTAAGAAATGGTTTCAGAAAAGAGCAGAGCTATTGATTGAACTGACTTTCTTGAGCTTTGAGAAGAGACTACTTCTTTACATTATTTACTCGTCAGCCACCGAGATTGTGGGTTTCCTACTTTTCCCTGAGCACTACTCAACATTTGTCATGTATTTCAAAACATCTTTTGCGAACAACTCTCAAATAACTCATCTGCTTCTCCAAACTCCTAGGCCGCATGTAGCAAAGATGGTGCCTATTAAGGAGCCTTCCTCTGAGTACCCAGAAGATAGTGCAATGGATGAGCCTAATGACCTTCTTCCAAGAAAGGACACAAAACGCATATGTGAAGAACTACAGGTACTTACCACACATATGGGTGAGACTATCCAGGGTCCTCCCTTGGGGGCCTATAACAAAAGAACATCCAAGGTATACCCACCCCTGATGTCGATGTATACCATATATCCCATCAACAAGAATTATACTCCAACAAGTAAGGCTGATAAAAAAAAAAACGTGCTCACAGAGCTCAAGACGAGGTTTACAGCAGGTTTACTGGCCTTATATGCATGTCCCCATGCAAGGGGCACGCCCCCTGGACCTGACAGTAAACCACAGTAAAAACAAATACACAATTACATTGGCTCTCAGGTCCAGGACACTCCCATACAAAATCAGATAATCCCTCCTCTGTGCCTGGGAGATAATTGGATCAGGAACTGTACTAATCTAATCCAATTATCTCCAAGCACAGAAAAAACATATTTTTTCCCAAACACACCAAAAGTACCCTAAGCATACATAAAACCCCACAAAAGTAACATCCCCTGATCTGGGTGACCAACGTATACAAAAATCACCCATATCAGTTCAGGAATTTCCTGGAAGTCATTTATTTGACCGACCGCATGCATGGTCCCATGCCCAAAACAGTTCCATAGAATCAGGGCTTGTGGTCGGTCTGGTTTGGTAGTTTAGAAACGTGATCAAACTACCAAATGGAATCCATAGTTCTACCCTGGAGCTTGTTCACCTTATTCCACCGCACAGTGTCTTCCTAAGTGTTATAAAACCGAACACAGGCTATCATGGAAGTCCAACGGTGTTCGGGAGTTTTAGAATCCGAAAATAGTTCCATGAACCCAATGACCAAACACCGCTGCCTGCATTCTTGCAAACAAGATGGCCGCTACCTCGTGGTCATCCATAGGAATTGCAGCCACCCAGACGAACATTTAGAACACTGAGGTGGAAATTGCTACAAAGTAGCAATTAGGCTTAGCAAGCTCCAGGGTGGTCTCCGGTTCGTGCGGCTGTTTGGTTCCCGAAAAAAAAAAGTCTAATTTCACGAACGGAGATTTTTATATCACAGTTTACAGGGTCCATAGTCTGTAGGCAGGAGGCTGTTAAGCAGGCTCCTCCAGGAACTCTTGGCAAACTCACTTTAAAAGGGGAGTTTGTCACAGGCATTACCATGACTTAATTGCAAAAGTGGAATAGTTATCACAGGAACACCAATGACCTGAGATGAAAATCGTAACTATGGAAGATTTGCACTAGCTCAAAATCTAAGGATTCGGGGCATTCCGGATTCAGTGCCTTTACAAGAGATGCCCTACCTCCTCTGATGGCTGTGGACATCCCTACATCCATCTACTAAGGAGAAGTCTATAAAAGAGGACTCATATTTCAGAGTGGGTCAGTCTCCCAGGGCCCCAGTTGATGTCTCAAGAGACCTTCTGGTGCGGTTCCACTCAGAGGCAGACAAAACAATGCTTATGGCGGCAAAAAGGCACTCTGATCATCACACTTTCGAGTCTTATAACCATTCTACCTTGCAGGATTATGGGAAGCCAGTAGCAGCCAACCTATGCTGAAGGTTATCCGAGGGGGCTGGAACTGGTGACCAGCGCCAGACTGGGAAAAAAATTAGCCCAGTATTTAATTGCAGAGCAGCTCAGTAGTGAAGAACAAGGACAGAGATGGTGCGTGTCATGTCATCAACAATAACACTCACACCACCGCAAAGTGAGTATGTCAGTTTGCTGTCCCTACATGACATCTAGTGCGCAGGGTCCTGCTGAAGTCTCCCAGAGCTCTAGTTGATTCCTCAAGAAACCTTTGGGTGAGGTGCCACTCAGAGGCGGACAAAACATTACACATTATTTTTATTTTATGGGAACCACTCGCATTCTACAGTACAGTACAGTCACCAAGCTCCAATGATATTCAGTACTGCCGGGGCCAGGAAGACAGTTCACCATTGCATCATAACGGTAAACTACTTCAGCTTACCAGCATTTTAAGGGCATCAGATTTTGCCTCGACCTTGGGACTCCCCCTAACAACTGCATAACCTGTACTGCCAAAGAAACTGTAAGCTATCACCACGTGGAACGTAAACAACATATGACCGTTTTACCCAGCAGGATTGCGAAAAGCTGGTAGCAGCCAGCCTATGCTGAAAGACACCTGAGGAAGTCAGAACTGATGACCAGGGCTGGACTAGGAAAAAAATACAGCCTTGTATTTAATTGCAGAACAGGTCAGTTGTAGAGGACGGGAACAGAGATAGTACATGTCATACACTAGCATACACTAAACAATATGATATAATACACTAAACAATATGATATAATAGGCATAACTGAAACATGGTGGGATGAGACATGTGACTGGGCAGCTAACTTAAATGGGTACATGTTATTTAGGAAGGATAGGAAAAACAAGAAGGGTGGTGGGGTATGTTTGTATGTCAACCATGATTTAAAGCCAAATGTTAAGCAAATGGAATGCGAGGAGGATAATGTGGAAGCTTTATGGGTAAATATCTGCTTGGGGAAAAGAAGGGAAACCAACTATTGGTTGGGATATGTTATAAACCACCTAATGTTAATATTGACGAGGAACAACAGCTGTTTGAGCAAATTGAGAAAGCTGCAAATCTGGGTAACACTTTAATTATTGGAGATTTTAATTACCCGGATATAAATTGGGACAGAGGGACTAGTGCCTCAGCAAAGGGAATTAGGTTTTTAAACTTGTTAAATGACACCTTCATGTCACAACTTGTACAAGCACCAACTAGAATGGATGCTTGTCTGGACCTGGTTTTAACAAACAACGTTGATCTTTTGACCAACAGTCAAGTAGGTGAGCACTTGGGAAATAGAGATCACAATATAGTGTCCTTTGAAATAAACTCAAAAAAAACAAAAGCACATGGGGTATACTAAAACATAGCATTTTAAAAAGGCCAATTTCAATAAGTTAAGGGAAGCTTTACAATATATTGACTGGCATAAACTCTTTAGTGAAAAGAACACTGAGGATAAATGGATCATCTTCCAACAAATATTAAAAAGGTACATTTCTCAGTATGTACCGTTGGGAAATAAATATAAAAGAAATAAATTAAAACCAATGTGGCTTAGTAGAGAAGTAAAACGAGATTACAACTAAGAAAAGGGCATTTAAAGCATTTAAATCAAACAAATCAGATGCATCTTATAAAAGATATAAGGATGCAAATAATGCGTGCAAAAAGGCAATTAGACTTGCTAAACTTCAAAATGAAATAACGATAGCTGAAGAGAGCAAAACCAACCCCAAAGCATTTTTTAAGTACATAAATTCTAAAAAAAACCAAAATGAAAGTGTAGGTATACTAAAAACTGAAACGGGGGTGTTAGTTAATGAAGACTAGGAAAAGGCAGGAATTTTAAATAACTATTTCTCCTCCGTATATATAAAGGAAGAACCCATGGCAAATGATAGATGTGCAAATGATTGCTACTAAAAACTTGCAGAATAATTGTAATTGGTTAACTCAAGACAAGGTGCTGCAGCAACTAAAGAAAGTTAATATAAACAAAGCTCCAGGGCCTGACGGTATCCATCCACGTGTACTTAAGGAACTAAGTGTAGAAATAAGTGAACCTCTGTTTTTAATCTTTCAAGATTCTTTTCTTTCAGGAAGTGTTCCGGAGGATTGGAGGAAGGCAGATGTGGTTCCTATATTCAAAAAAAGGTTCAAAATCCTTGCCTGGAAATTATAGACCTGTGAGCTTAACTTCTGTGGCTGGGAAAATATTTGAAAGGTTATTAAGGGATAATATTCAAGAATTCCTTGAGAAGAACATGGTTATCAGCAAAAATCAGCATGGTTTTATGAAGCACAGGTCATGTCAAACTAACTTGATTGCATTCTACGAAGAAGTAAGTAGAAGTATAGATCAGGGTGTTGCCGTGGATGTGATCTATTTGGATTTTGCCAAGGCGTTTGATACAGTTCCACACAATAGATTAGTGTTCAAACTCAAGGAAATCGGTCTAGATGAAAATGCTTGTTCTTGGGTAGAGCATTGGCTTAAAAACAGAGTACAAAGAGTTGTCATTAATGGTAAATTTTCAAGCTGGACAGAGGTGGCAAGTGGTGTCCCTCAGGGGTCTGTTCTGGGACCCCTTCTATTTAACATGTTTATAAATTATCTTGAAGACCGCATTGAAAGTCATGTTTCAGTGTTTGCAGATGCCACCAAACTTTGTAAAACAATACAATGTGAGCAAGATATTACTTTGCTGCAGAGGGATTTAGATAGACTGGGGGACTGGGCACTCAAATGGCAGATGAAATTTAATGTTGCGTAAAGAATACACAAGCAACGTATACCCTTAGTGGAAGCGAATTAGGGATAACAACACATGAAAAGGACTTGGGAATTGTGCAATGTGCAATGTCAATCAGCAGTGGCCAAGGCCAGTAAGGTATTGTCATGCATGAAAAAGGGCATTCATTCTCGGGACAAGAATATAATTTTGCCTCTTTATAAATCACTGGTAAGACCCCATATTGAATATGCTGTGCAATTTTGGGCACCTGTTCTAAAGAAGGATATTATGGCACTAGAAAAAGTGCAGAGGCGGGCTACAAAATTAATAAAAGGAATGGAACATATCGGCTATGAAGAAAGGTTAACAAATTTAAACCTATTTAGTTTAGAAAAACGTCGCCTGAGAGGGGATATGATAACATTATACAAATATATTCGGGGCCAATACAAACCATTGTGTGGAAATCTATTCACAAACCGGACTTTACATAGGACACGAGGCCATGCGTTTAGACTGGAAGAAAGAAGATTTCATCTAAGGCAAAGGAAAGGTTTTTTTACTGTAAGAACAATCAGGATGTGGAATTCTCTGCCTGAAGAAGTGGTTTTATCAGAGTCCATACAGATGTTCAAACGGCTACTAGATGCATACTTGCAAGAACAGAATATTCAAGGATATAATCTTTCAATGTAGGGTAATAACTGCTTGATCCAAGGATAAATCTGACTGCCATTCTGGGGTCAAGAAGGAATTTTTTTCCTAGCTTGTTGCAAAATTGTGCTTCAAACTGGGTTTTTTTGCCTTCTTTTGGATCAACAGCAAAAAACAAATG